AATATATATATATATATATATATATATATATATATATATATATTCCCCCTTCCTCTTTCTCCGTCTTTGGTATTCTTGTTTACTGCTCGATACTATTGTAGGAGAGGGCGTGCGTATGTATTCGAAGATGGTCGACTGTTGTCTCTGCAGCAAGATGAAGGGGATCTTTTGATTCCTCAGGAAGGAGAGGAATATAAATATATATAGAAAAAGAGTTTATATCCCTCTATTGCACTTCGGTCTTGGGGAAAAGAAAAGAAAAAGAAGGCAGAGTAGAGTTTAGAATTCAAAGAAAAGCATCTACTAATTGTTACCGAAGGGGCGGGACAGGTGGTGCCTTATATCAACTGTGCAACCGCTACACTTCCCTGCTACACTTCCATTCCTTCTCCAACCCGCCGATGAGGATCCCGTTCCGTTGACTTCCCTCTCCCCTCCCTCCCTCCCCCCTCGCTAAGCTACACTCTACTGTACCCTCACTTCAACCCCCGGGAGTCCGATATTCTATCGTTTAATTCAAACTGCCGAATCGAATCGAAACCATCAAGCCCACTCTAGAGTACCCCCCCCCCCACAGAAATTCCCAGCGAACAGTTCGAATCTAAAACCCAATTGCGCAATTCTTTTTTTTTTTTCCTCCGCTCCTGTTGAACGCCCCATTTGTCGGTGAGAAGTGGACCAGCTACGATACCACCATGCACCCTCTCGTGCTCACTCACCTTTCACACTCCCTCCTTCCACCTTCATCAAGGAATGGGAGAGGGAGAGGAAGGGGTAAAAAGAAAGGAAAGGAAAAGAAGGAAAGAGGAAGAAGGGAAAAAGAAAAAGAAAAAACTACATCCGACATGCCCACGTATAGTGCTCGAGCAGTGTACCTACTCGAGTACTCGTACAGTACCTACATACGCACAATCGCACATACACACTATACAGTATATCACATCACACAAGAATTTCTGGAGGCAGGTGAGAGGAACTTGGCGGTGTATCGGATCAGCTAAACTGTCCCATCCGAGACTGTTCCTTTTTAAATCGACTTTTCCAACCCCTTGGTTGGGAAATCTGGCAAGCCATTTCTCAATCCCCCCCACTCAAGAATATACTTTTAACCGTCCCCTCGGTATTGATCCCACCCCTAAGTTCAATCCCACCCTTCCACGAGCACTGCCGCTATCGTATTATTCGGCAGAAAGATATTTCCATCCCCCCTCAGTTGGTGGAATAAGATAATCAATCCGCGAGGAAAAAGCAATCATGCATGCAGATCGACTGCTTGCAACACGGTAACGGTAGAGGAGATGCGCTGGTTGGGTATCGTATTTGTGCAGGACGATGGGGAAAAATGGCGGGAATCGCCGGAATTCTTGTCTCGGAAAAATATACTTGGGATAAATCCCAGAGTGACACTTTCACCGTATGATTGGTATTAGCTTGATCGGTCCCGACCCGCCTTAGTGTCCGTTGGCGATAGAATCCTCCGAGAGAAGGGTTCCGGTCCACGCTTCTCTTTAGGGTCTCTCCAGAGTTTATCCTGCCCTATTCTATCTATCTGGCTGAGCTTTTTTCTTTCTTTCCTTTTTTTTTCCTTTCTCTTTTTTTCCCCCCTCCGGTTCGAGACTTGAGGAAGATTGGGGAGATGTCGGATGCACCCAGATTGGGGCAAACTGCTCCCCCTCTAGCCGTTCCTAGATACAACCACATACGATGGAACGGCCTATCCAAAAAGCGTACAGTACAGATGGCAGTGATGTACTCGAGTACTGTACAAGTGGGCATGAAGCGCTCGGGCACAGGGATGAAATATTCGAATGGCGAATTGCCTGTGCGTAGGTGAGCACCCACACTAGATTCGGACCCAAATGCTCTGGCAGGGCACTCCATACCGGATACTTGTAGGCCTCGACCCCCAAAACCCAGCCTCTATCACCCCACATCTCCGCACTAACCGGATACAGCATCCGCCGCCATGGCGCTCTTAACATCATTCCAGTTATTGCGTGTTATCCTCGAGTACGCTCAGATAAATAAAACCCTCAGAATCGGCCGCTGCTATTAATATGATGCCCACCGGAAAAAAAGAAAGAAAAGAAAAAAGGGTGCCTCTGCGCTCCATCACCCAAGATCCGGTCCGGGGGGAGAACGGAGGTCTCTTTACATCCTTGATCTCTGCCCTCACCCGGGCCTTTTAGACGTGCGTCATGATTAATCACTCGGCATCATGTACCTACCTACATGGCCTCTCGAATCGCCCGCCTCATGTTCTCCGATAATCAATAGCCGCTCCACATACTTGGCCAAGGAGCGCAAACCCCTGTTTCCCGCCACTCTGAGCCCCACCCGTCCCATAAGGCGACAGTCCGGGGATCACAGCTGTAGCCGGTCCCTTCCCTCATCGTTACTGGCGACTCTGCCCATCCCCTGTTTTGCCATTTTCTCCCTCGGATCGTGGGTTTGGTGGGCGAAACGGCTCCTCGGTTGACGGGCTGTTGACTGCCGAACCCAACCTGGAAACGCACTCGAGTACGCTATCCGGCCCCGCGCACCGCAGCATCCCCCAAATAATCCTAGCAGTCGTCAGCACCTTTGCGGCATGCCAGCACACCACCTCTGGTTTTTTTCCCCATTCCGCGTTTGAATTGTACTCTACTGTACAGTGATTCTCCTGTGAGCCGGGAACCCCACTAATAATAAACGGCCCAAACTCACCCCCCCGCAGCCCGTGACCCCAGTCACGCTACACAGAAGCCGTAATCCCAAGGCAATCAGAAACTAATGCATGGCATCCCCATGACATATCGTCCCGATCGGGATCCTTTTGCAGTTGACGATCAAGGGAACAAGTCAATCGTAGGAGAGAGAAGAAAAGTAAAGAAATCAAGGAAAGAGTAGAAATAAAGTAAAAAAATAGCAAAAAAAAATAAAAGATGGGTAAAATAAAAGAAATACCCTCACATCCCATCAAAGCCACCCTGCTAGAAGGTGTTCCCAATTTATTTATTGCATACATGATGCGGTTGGTAATCGCTCCGGATATTCGTAGGATATTGCTGCCACTCCTTTTGACCGCCCTCAACCTCTGCATCTGCCCTGGGAGATCCGGAGACGTCGCCGGGAACACTGCCGAGCATGGTCATACCTGGCACCTGGGACCCACAGGGGACAGCAAGACCCCAAGAGCCATATCTTTGGAAATCCCAGGGCGCTCTTGAGACCCGTCGCTGACAGGGGTCGGTCATGGTCAGACATCTCACCGCGGCCTATCGCAATTTGGGGAGTGGGGAGTTTGCAACCCGTCCATAATGCGTTTGTGGCCCCGATACCCTACTGGCCTGTGATAGAACATCCCGGATAACATTATGTAAAACGTCGCCATTGCCAATTGATTAATTTACCGCCTGCCGGCAAACCTCGTGCGGTAGGGATTTGCTCGTACGTTCGACGCTTCCGACGGAGCTACTGCCTGCGGCCCAAATGATCCAGGCCAGGCTTCCTCAATTTCTCCTCGACTGAGAGCGCTGCTGTCTGCAAAAGGGTGTTTGCTGGTGAACAAGATGCCGAAATCTCTTTCTAGCCCACACCATTCAAAAACACTGCACACTGGAAAGCTGCTAGTTGTGTGTCTCTTTTCCCCTCTAAACCTTTAGGCTGCCCCGAGCATGGTTCAGTGCATGAGCCAGCTGTCTATTTCTAGTGCCTTGGCCAATCACCGAACTATGTTCTGATTCCCCCCCCCCGCCGCACGGTAGTACCCCGCCGGGCTGGAATTGCAGCGCGCTCTGCACCACGGCATATGTAGCACAGTCAACTTTGAGACTCCAAGGAAGCCTCTCTACTCGGGTACCGCACCTGAAGCTTTAATAGGGACCGGTAGTGTACGCACAGGTTGTGAGACGAAAAGTCAGTAATATTGATAATAATTCAATTCTCAGTGTTTGGCTATCACGAAATTTCGAACCGATTCACCCCGGAGGGAGGATAGTTGGCATGAGCAACCGGTATCGGACCTCAGCAGAATTTTCTGGTGCTGCCGGGGGTGAGGTTGGACAGTCGGGACAGTTCAACGTGGCTGGCATGCCCAATTTATTGGGGAAAATCTAAGACACGGAGTTTGGTTCCCAAATATGTGTTTGGACTTGTACATGCCTGGAGGCTGCATAGCAAGCACATGCACCTCTCCCGGTGCCCCGGTTGAATGCGGGTACTCGGATGTGGAAGGAAGGCCAGTGGGCTCATGTGTTACAGTACAAGTACCGTGTACAGGTATACACTCGTACACTCTACTTCCTTCTTGTCTGCTGCGGAATGTGGAAATTAAAGTATCTTCGCACCGCTGCCGGCTCCAATGCTTCAGGCTTAACTCGAGTTGTTCACTCGAGGACGGCGCCTGGGGCGATTTTCTGAGGGCGTGCGGATGGTGCTCCATGAGCAGGATGTTGGGGATCGCTCTCCCTACAACTTCATGCGAGGCGATTAGCGTAGGGGGCTCGGGAGGTTTTGGGCTCACATGCCTGCCCTTGAAGAAAAGCCTAGTAGGATCCGAGAAGCCTTATTTCCATAAAATTTTGAGGCCCCGCGGTGTGCGGTGCAAGGCCAACCCCTCATGCACCGAGAGCAGGTGTTACCCTGCAGCTAACCCCAATATCCTAGCTAATGAGTGAGGTTGGCTCCCACATCCACTTGGGAGCACGTACGAGTACGAGTACAAGTGCTTGTGTCATACTCCGTGCCGCTTGGAGGGTAGTGTTGTGGGTAAGGGGTTAACGTTTTGCCGAGCCACTCTTGGCTTAAGGGCCCTGGTTACTCCTAGTTTAGGGGTTCCCTGAGTTTAACTGTATGATACCGGTACCGGTAGGGAGCTTCTATTTGGTACCGGTAGGGAGATTAACTTAGAGTGCATACCTTGATACGCTTGGATACATCGGCCCCAAGAATGAAGTTCTTTCGAATCTCCCTGCTTACTGGTAAGCCTCCGCATGTGCAGGTCATGATGCAGCCCTCGAAGTAATCATTAGCTGTCACTCGGGTCTTTTGTACTCCAGTCGCAGCGCACTGTCAGCCGCCAGACGCAGTGTTAACCAATAGAAGCCCACGTCCAGTAGTCTTCTGCATGGTGCTGGCTCGCTTGTGCAACAGGAGCTGTACCAACTGGGGCAGATTTCTTTTGTCGGTTTCACGAGGAGGGGTGAAGAAGATTGGGAAACCCTAAAACAAAGTCAGTGCACTGGAATTCCTGATCAAGTTGGGGAGTACCAATACCGTGGGTTTCGAAACAGGATTCTGTGCTGCCGGGCGGGGGTGCTTTGAGAGTTCGGGCAACCAGAAGCACAGCATGACGCTCGTCAGACACTACGGATGCTGAACAAACGCCAAAACCATTACCCTGGCGTGACATAAGAGGGCGGTGAAAGGGGTCGGCTAGGGGTGGGAGAATGCTGTTAGGACTATTCACCTTTGCTGACGATATACGATCATCCAAGGTAGGATGTATACTTTGATTCCGAGGTTTGCCAACATGCGAACAATAATGAGGATCCTAGGGATATTTTGCAGGTATGTTTCTCTAAAGCACTTGGGGTTTGTAAGGGGTGATTGGAGATGGGGGGGGGGGGATTCAATGGGCATAGTGGTGGAGAAAGAGTTCAAGGGTATGATAGTATGTAGGAGGTGGGGTTCTCCTTAAATTGCCCAACCTCGTTCTAGCCTCAGGGATTCGTAATACTCAACCTATTTTCCACGGCAGCTGTAATTATTTGTTTGCCGTCACCATCCAGATTACCCTAAGCGATAGCGAGAGTCCTGGATTTCCTTATCCTGTGGCAACGCTTGTTCATGGCGCGGGCGTGAGTCGACGTTCAAAGCGGTTGTGATGTCTACAGGCACGAGAGTTGAATCTCAGCTGAGTTCAGTCGGAGAGATATATTAGAAGGAAATCTGGATGTTTCCCTTATTGATTGGGTTTATTTCAATTAATGTCCTACTGATTTCCGAGTAGCCAAGTAGCAAGACAACGCACTATATACACTCGAACCATTCCGCTTCTAAGAGTGACAAGTGTCTGCCGCCAATCCTATCAGGCACTATTTAAGAGGGTGTAGCCAGGTTTCCTAATATCGTTGTGGACGACTGGGAACTGGTAGTGCTCTTTACATTATCGATTTCTCAAAGGACGTAAAAGAAATAGTTTGTAGAAAAGATTGGATTGTATGAAATTATTAGTACAAATTGACACGTGCACACCTGTATAGCCTATATAAAAATCTGGTGAATAAATAACAAGGTCTGATAGAGGGCGGGAAAAGATTCTGAGGTATCTTATGGAATACAATGTAAAAAAATAAAATAAAATAAAAACTTCAAGTAAAAGAAAGAAATTTTAGAACTTCAGATAGATTTTACTCGTATGGCCATAAGATTAGGCCTCTTTCTGCTACACTGAGATATACACTCTAGTGTAGTTTTCCCAGCAATCTACAATGGTCTATTTATTAACTTTAGACTAGTAGTAATGGTTAGAGGAGGGGCATTTTGAGTAATAGTATGAGAAATAGTTTGTATTGCTGTTATAGATTTCTTCTACCAAAAAGAATAGGTATTTCTCCATAGTAGCAAATCTCTGTGTGCTATTTGTACATTATCTTGGCTAACATATGGATACAGCCACATGCAATACCATCTGCACAGCTAGGTTCCTTTTTTGAACTGCTTGCACCATGCATAAAGTTTTAAGATCATTTATTCTATCAATAGGGTTCCTTGAATGAATTATTTTACCATAAACAATTGTACCGAGGGTTTGAAAAGCTCTTATTGTGATAATACATTTAAATTGAGAACTTCAATACCAGGTCCTATTTTGTATAATATCTGTCAGATGGTTTGAAGGCGCTTGTTACACGTTTCTAACATGCTAAGGTGCCCAAACTTCGACACATAGGAACTTGTGCTTGCCCTGCCCCCAATTAGGCAGTGATGCATACAGGTAAATTAATATGAGAAAAAGAGAAAATAAAAAGTGTTGACAGACGGTGTCCGAGCTGCCGTTGCAAGGCCGAGTTGGAGAACTGTAGTTGTGCGAACCCTGGGAGACATTCCCATTCCGGTGTGCTAAATTAGTGGTTTTAGCTCGGCTACACGAAGTATCTTAAAAGATCTGCCTAATCCGACCATCGAGGTTAACACTATATATTGTTGTCGGGATGCGCAAGCGTCCGGACAACAGTAACAGCTATCGCTTCCTGTGATTCTTTACGAACCATCCCCCCAAATACCAGCCGCTCTTCGAATCTCAGCCGGGGATCGACCAATCGCTTTGCCCAAACACTTGCAGATGGCTTGCTACTCGGGAATGGACGGAGGTGATGAGACGGATAGGGGTCTTGAGTCTGGACGCTGAATACCATCTGAGGTAGAAAACAATTTAATTTGGTAGGCTTGATGCCAGAAAGGGCGAAAAGCTTTGGCACCTTGAATCCCCGTCGGTCCCATTACCTCCGTCCATACCCGGGTATTGCGTGGGATACCTTATCTGGCACCCTGCCCCCCCCCCCCCACCCCACCGGGAGAGATTCCCACCTTGCGGTTCTCGACCAATACTCGCTCAATAAAGTATCACAGTGGATAGGATTGGACAGGAGCTGATTCTAAATGGTTCTATAAGAGTTTCTTTTACTAGAGAAGTTGTTGTTGTTGCGGAGCATTTGTCATTGAATTTTTCTCTCTGAGGGTTGATTACAGACGGCCTGCACTGCACCGGTATTCTTTCCACTTTTTACCGTCTGCCGTGTTCTACTGTACCGTAGTTAGCCCTGGGTCTTGGCGAACCAATCTCGCCGACTTCCGGTACCCGAGCCCCCCCTTTCAGAAATCGGCCTCACACTCGTCACTGCTCACCGCCGATAGCCAGACATCAAAACCATCCTCCAAAAGTATCCTGCTCCGTACAGCCATACCGGTATTGAACACTGCAACGCTATGAACCTCATCTTTGCCTCTTTGGCTACAACCCTCCTCGTGGCCCGCGCGCTCTCCCGTAACTCTCTAACCACAGCTGGCATTCTCTCTGCTATTCTAACAGCAATAATCCACGCACTACATCCATGGAACCTCCCATTTGTCCTATTGCTCACTTTCTACGGTCTCGCGATGAGGGCTACGAGAGTTAAACATGAAGTGAAGGCTAAGTTGACTGTTTCCTCGTCTGGAGGCGCGGGGGGTGAGGGTGCTAGGAATCATGTTCAGGTTAGTGCTCTGGACTCTGGGGTTGTTGATGGTGATTAATGGAGGGGTGGGGAGGCAGGTTCTGGCGAACAGCATCGTCGCGTCGGTGCTTATCCTAGTCCATTGTTACCAACTAGGAGTGATTTCCTCGAGGGGTTTCGCACAGCGGAAGGATGTATGTTTTCATGGGGATATCGTGGTGATTGGGATTATTGCGTATGTAGCCTGCACAGGTATCCCTCATCTTGACTGATTGGATTGTAGGAATTATGCCTCGACATTGGGCGACACGCTTGCCTCGGAGCTGGGGATACTTTCCAAAACTCCACCGGTGATGATTACTACCCTTCGCAAGACGCCCCCGGGCACCAACGGCGGCGTCACCCTACTCGGAGTCCTGGCAGGAGGAGCCGGTTCCGCCATCATCGGGCTTGTCTCGGTGCTTCTATTCCCGTATTGCCCATCATCGATAGACGGATCCGGCATCCACCTTCCGGAAGGAGGGGCACACATTCCCCTTGGCAATAATGGTAATTACTGCCCGGCTTGGGGAATTAAAGAAAAGGCCCTCTTTGTAGCATTTGTTACGGTGATCGGCGTCTCCGGTAATCTCCTTGACTCCCTCCTCGGAGCGGTATTCCAAAAGAGCGTCGTGGATATTCGTACGCAGAAGATAGTCGAAGCTCCTAATGGGGTTACGGTGGCGCCCCAATTTCCTAAATCACACCTCCTAGAGGCTAACAAACACCAGGTTCTCGTCCAACCCTCATCGCCACACCTCTCTACCCGTGCACCTATCCACTCTCACCTTGGCCAAGGGCCACAATCTTCTGCAGCTGCGATTCCCGCTTCTGCCATTGCGAGCGAAAGTGCCCGTCGTAGAAACGCTGTCGCTGCGGAGAAGGATGATGCGATGGAGCATGAGCAAGAACACGAACACAGTAGGGCAGTGATTTCGGGTTTGAGGTGGGGTGTGTTGAATAATAATGAGGTCAACTTCGCCATGGCAGTTTCGATCAGTATGGTGGCTATGATTGTCTGGAAGATGGCAGGGATGGCTAAGTGTGATAGTTGCTCAGGGGTTATCGGATAATGTTTGTCGTGATTCGCAGATGGCTTATGAGATTGTGATATCCACTTTTATATTGTTCTAAGATGGGATTTTTTTCTGGGGGGGGTTAGATCATGGGTTGCCATCAGAATCACACACCGTCACTCGTAGTTCAGAACATTATACGCACTTTAAGTTTACTACCTTCAAAGGCTTTTTGTATGCCATAGCGCGAGCTGCATGTACGTTTTTGAGCCAGAATCAATAAACATATGAGAAAAAAAAAAGCTTACTACGGAAAGTGCCTTTCTAGTAGTTGTACATCCCGTTAGGATCCACCCTGAGGGTAGCGCAGGTTAGGATTTCCATGAAGTCTTCCGGAGACACGAATGTTTCGCGGGAGGATTGGGGGGAGGTCAGAGATTGCAGGAACGGGGTTGAGTGTTTGCGTATTTCCAGGGGCCGAGGGAGGTACGATACCATAGCTCTTGGCGGGTCGGGGTAGATGGAGGTGCCGAGGGGGATTAAACGTGGGATCTGGGCGAGGTTGGAGTTGGAGGGTGTGGGGAGGGATGGGGAAAGGTGGGGGAGGAGTAGGGCGAGGAACTAATTTAACCTGCATCAACGCCGTTCTAATTACTGCAAGGCCTCCCTGAGAAACACCCGATATAGAAGCTCTCCTAGCGCCCAAATTACCCCATCCCCATCATTAGCCTCATCCCACCTTCCCTCCCCTGTGCCCCGCGTGGCTAGAGAGCTCTCCAAAGCATCCAGCATATGACAGGACATGGCTTTCCCCTTGCTGGGGCCGGGGAAACTGAGATGGAGGGTTGCCCGGCCTGGCGGGGGTAAGAGTCTGAGCCTGAAGATTGACGTTTTGATATTTCTGGAAGAGGAGTGGGAGAGGGAGGGAGGGGAGAGAAAGTAGAGGTGCTGGTAAGCGTAGAGTGCCTTTTAAAGCGGAGGCATTGGTACTGGTAGGTGCAGGGTTGGAGAGGGGGTGACTTTGTTCATTGGACCACAGAGTAGGTAATTTTTATTTTTATCTTTTTTTTGATGGAATTGATGTGGATTTACATATTTTGGGGGTAAAGGTGGAATTTGGGGAGCCAGAGAGGATGCCGAGGGGATGCAGCTCCTGAATCATAGAATTAGATAGTGATATCACGTTTGGGTGCACAACTAATATGTACTTGATCCTCGGGACAATGGTCAAGCATGAGAGTAACAAGCGGTGATGTCTGAAGCCGAGATTTTCCATCACCTCTGTTCATGGACAAGATAGCAAGGTCACTAAATAGCCCTATAGTTACAAGTAGGTTCTTAGTAATCATGTTGAGGAGCTGTTTCATGAATTCTGATCAACTCGCTATCTTTAAGAAATTAGGGGAATTGACACTCAGAAAAAAGATCAAAACACATTTCTGCAGTTAGTATTAATACTCATAATTTCTGCTGCTACCGATGATACCTAAATATATATTCTGGGTGGTGCATTCCTAAACAGAACTTGCACTGGTTAATCTTGACCTTTTAATAAGAGTAAAACCTCCTAGGCTGTAGCTTTTATTATATGCACTTCTTGTACATGATATTTAATATTTGAAACATTATTGAAATGGTAGTATATTACTCCTACTTACAATAATCGGTCAAGAACAGAATGGAAGAGCATAGTATTACAAGTATATAGCCTATTAGAGATCTGATATCGGGTTAGTAGGTGGGTTAATCTTATACCACTTTGGTATAAGCGTCAGTACTATAAGCAGAACAGATAGGCACTCAGGCGACTAGTTATTGAGAATAGGGTATTTGTATTCAAGAGGTGTATAAGGATATGTATAGAGTTTGATAGACTGGATTCGACTCAGTGGCCAACATGGTAGCCGGATTTAAATTTAACAGAAGTATTATAGCTTTATTTGGGGATGGAATTGAATAGTACTTAGTGGATTAGAAATGCTTCAGCCCTGCATACATGTTTAAAGCCCACTTGGATATAGATTGGGGCAGAGCACCGTAAGAAACTCATCCACAGCGTGCCAAATAAATCGCGTACTGCTCTTGCTGCCGAGGCAAATTCTGCTTCCCATTATCATACATATACTGGTATTTTTTTTTTTTGTATAATATTATCCAGCTACTTTAATTTTGCTATTACAAGACCTTCTTTCCCTATAAAAAAAATCCAATCGGCATGCATAATAATCTATTTCTGTTCTAGCCGCTTGCTCATACTCATACTCCTGTTGTACTATGAGCCATTTACTACATCGGGGTGCCGCCTCACGTACGGTTCTGTACCTCACCCCCGAGTACATTAGGCAATGCTCTGCCGCCCGTCGGGTGCAGCCACGCAACAAGTTACTCGAGTACCCGCACCGGTACTTTTGTGTAGTAAAAACCTGAAGGGTATCATAACGGTATAGAGTAGATAGATTGGCGACATGGGGATTCATCAGACTTTTCACCCATCTGGGAATAGGGGTTTCCGAGATTGATTGAACACCTAGGGTCATTTGAGGGAGGGTTCACTAGGCTTCACCGAGCAACAGTAAGCAACTATCAGAATAGTGGTTTGTCTCTTCCACATGTCATTTTATATCACTTAATTCTGAGAAAACCTCACTCCACCCGTCCCAAACTCCTGCATGTAAGGGAGTCCCATAAAACCCTGTATTCGTGCAAAAAAGGAAACAAACAAACAAATAAAGTCTATTCTATTACAAATACATACGGCGGAAGTACCATCCCACCTCCATTACATATCGCATTGCTTAACCATACCACATCGTGCCCGTAAATTGGCGCCTCAGATGTACTCGTAGCAAAGCGCGCCTCCTCTAATATCCATGATGTCTCTAATCCGCTCGTTGGGGATCACACCCTTCATATCTAGTTCGTCGTCCAGTGTCGCAAGAACCCAACCGCCCGCAGGTTCGGATCCCGTGGTATACCCAGCGATATCACGAGACCTATTCAGTAAATCTCTCTCCTGCCACTGCCACCACACGCGGTCCAGGAATGTGTGGTGCAGGTAGAACAATGGATCCCCAGGTGACGAAATGGCATTATCCTGTTCGTCCATCACGAATTAGCACCATAGCACCATCCCCAACTGAACTTTCGATTGATAGAGCCTACCATCTCCCCTCCAACACCGGCATGACCACCCTTGTGCGGGTTCGCCTCGATGCATGGCCACGCTTCCCGGAAATTCGGCTTTTCTAAGCAATAATCTATGTTGACCTGAGAGGACAAGAGACTGTAGGGATCACTGATGGCGCGATTGATGCAGTGCTCCGTGTTTGAGTATCCCGGGCCGTTATGTAGCTTGTAACTAGCGAACGGGCCGTCGCGGATACACTTTCGTATAGGGTCTGTATCACCATCCTGAAAGACACCGTCACCTCCGAAACCAGTGTCATCCGCGCGGAAGACGGGAGAAAGAGTGAACTGGCCGGCTTCGTGGGCTTCATCCCAGTATCTAATACATCGTTAGATACTGCCGGTAGGGGGGGGGTGGGGGGCAGAGTTACGGTTGGCTCCCGGTATACCCGCACTTGGTGCGCAGTAGCGTCTCATGAGCATGCATGAGTAACCTATGGAATGGTAGGAACCAGCCATCGCCATGCACGTTCATAGATTGAGTCTGGTGTACGGCGAGTAGGTCGTCAAAGAGGGTTCGCGTTTCTGGGAGACCGGTTGTGCTGTTGGTTCTCATCAGACAGAGTTCTGCGCTTATGTACTCTCTTTTCTGGTCGTCGGTGAGTGTGTGCCTGCACAATTGTTAGCGCAAATCTCTGTCGGTGAATAATTGAGGTGGGACTCACCAAGCTCTTCGTTGTAATAGATCAGGGCACGATTGCCGTGCACGCACCCTCCCATTTGAAGCGGGCGCTCCAGCCACAGTCGTAACGAGAAGTACAGCGAGGAATCCCTTGAGCAGTCGCGAGTACATGTTTAACAATTCAACCGAAACCAGAGGTTATCAGACCACAAAATGTACGAGAATAGAGGTTAGAGAGAGGAGAAAGAACGGAGCAGATGGCCTGGATGGTGAGATAAAACAGAAGGGGCGAGAGTCGGACATTTATAGGAGCACATGCCTATGTCTCAGCTACGTTCAGATATCCGCTTCGGGACCTAGGAACGGAGAGGAAAAGATGGGAAGATAGATTTCCCCTTCATTTCCCTCGTTATCACCTCCCCTCTGATAGTCTGACAAGGCAATGACGGAAGAAAAGAGAAAGAAAAAAAAAGGCATGTACCATATCACACCCCGCCAACATAATCGATACAGAAAAATCCACAGCGGTTCATGGAAAACGACGGAACCGCAGTAACACAGGCGCAGATCTTACTGCTGCCAGAACGTTTTCATCTCCCACAACCGCAGTCCGCAGTCCGCAGCGACCGACTCTCCCCATATGACATGATATCTGATACATGTACAGGGCAGCTGATTCGCTCATCTGAACTATGCTCACTCACCTGAGCCCTCCTGTCGCGATTGAGCAACTCGGTAAGAACTACACGTAGTGACTATTTTTCGGTACTGTGCCAGGGATGAACAAAGTGCAAAGTCAGCTTCAATCTCCCGTCCGTCCGTCCAAATGAACCGGGACCACGGCGCAGTGAGATGGCTTATTCCGTCGCTCAGCCGAGCCGCACTCTAACTTTGGTCTTGGTGTCGTGCCTGGCGTGTTGTGCCTGAGGAATGTCGGGCTGAAACCTGGGGGTGCCGCTTCCGGCAAGTTATGATCGCTAAACTTTGTGGTATCAGACAGTACCGGTCCGGTGCTCGAGTACGAGAGAGGGAAGGAGCGCCTAGGCAAGACTCGGTCGCTCGTGCTGTAGGTGGGCATGTTTGCGATTGATGGATACCGTGATAGCGGTTTCTTGTATTATGAGGCTGGAACGTACGAGTACATTGGTTTCCTGGGAAGGTGTGACTACATAAAGTACGGGGACAAAAGGGATCGTCCGGCGTGTCGATAGCGATCCCATAACTACTATAACTATGAGTTTACTACTTATGCAACCACAACCACTTAGAATAAACTGAAAATTTAAATAGACATCCAACAAATACAAGAAAAACCTTGTGAAATTGTGAAGAAAAAAAATCAATATTTTGTATACTATCTCTTTGCATCCAAAACAGCAGCCACTCTTCTAGGCCTTGACTCTGATAGCCTTTCTAAAAATTATTCTTTAATATCCTAAGTCCAAGCCATATTAAGAGCTTCTGCTTGATGTCTTCTAATAGTTTCTGGATTTCCTTTAGTCTTGTGAATATTAAGAAAATACTCATGCCAAGGTTGTAGCTAGCTACTACAGTCCTGGTTGTTTACTTGCTAACAACTTAGGTAGTACTCTCAAGAGAGTGCCTATGTCACAAACTGTGACTAAGCAAGGCAGATTTCACATAGCTCGGATTTCCGAGTTATAGGTATGTTGGGATTTCACATGACGCACACCGTGACTAGTGTGCCATAGGTTATTATGTTTACCTGTTCGTGACTCACAGTTGTGAGTCACATGATGTTATGATTTTCGCACATGACTCATACTTATGAGTCATGGGTTTCACTCAGGTGACGCAAGTTGCGCACCTGATTTGGTTATTATGTTTTGATTGGTTTAGGCATATTGCGCAGTGACTTATAGGAGTCGTCTGATGGATTTCATATGACTCACGGTTATGAGTCACAGGGTTCGCGTGACGCAAGGTATGAGTCACGCCAGGTGAAGAGCAACTATATAAAGGGTCACTAGGACCCTGAGTATGAGCTCTTCACACGTTCTTCTTGTTTATTTCCTACCTTTAAGTTATTATCAATAAAACCTACCTTTATGCTCTCTAAGATTTATCTTAAGAAACCCAAGAAGTGTCTTTCCTCCCACGAGAAGAGATTAAGTCCTAGGCGAGGACTAAGAAGAAGAATAAGAAGATAGGCACGAATACGATAGTAGTCAAAGGACTGGACTATCGAGATCGCGTAGGCATAGGCCTAAGAGCTATCACCTTACAGAGAAGTATCGTTACCTGTCGCTAGGTCCTACCCGGTAGGATTCTTAACAGCCTAATAGCTCATGTTAGGTAGTAGCTAATTCTAAAGTCAAGCGAATTGTAACTAGGGCTGGTAAGGTTTCTCGGGAAATGGTCAAGAAAGCTTGTAGTAAAAAGTAGGTATCAAAGTATAATGAATATCATATACATAAGATCTCTTCTCCATTCACTGATGATTCTGAAAGCTAGAAAGATACCTCAATATTTATATTCTATGTCTGGGTAGTTGTGGACTACATCAATTCTGAGGATTTTTCTATTATGATTGGACTAGTCAATATCATGAAAATGTCTCTCAGCTACAGATAGGTCTCTAGTTGGTGATTTGGTTCCATTACTTTCAGACCATATTCAAGGTAGTCAACCTCACTTAGTTTATAGCTCTGCAGTTACCTACCTGATTCACTCCATTCTACTTTTCAGATATAGCCTGAGGTTCCCTCTTATATATTTTATAAACAGCTTTTTCATTAGTCTGATGGTGATATTTTAAACATGTACAGTATTATGAAGCATGCTTTATTTTTACCAGTTTATAGAAATGAGATACAAAAGTCTGATGATACTATTATGATATGCAGGCCCAACTGTGGGGCCAGAGAGGGATATTGGCTGTGAAATTTTTGCAGTTTTCAGGAGGTCTGTATATGGGAGGAGCCTGTGTACATCAGCAAAAAAAAACTGCGCGTCTGATGCGTGGGCGGCGCGTCCTGACGCCGAGTTTTATTTTTTTGCGTCCCCTGCGTCCTGTGCATCCTGATTCTGGTTGCAACGCCCCACTGCGTCCGGTGCGTCTGGGCTTCCAGCCCCCACGCCCCCCTACGTCCCGTGCGTCCGGG